CACAGATACGTGTATATGCACACATTTATGCACGTGTACGCATAGAACATGTACATTTTATGCAGGTTGCGGACATGTGTCTACGAACATGTGCGTGGATATGTGTGCGCAGAGTATACGGGTGTGCATGGATATGTGTGTGTGCAGCATGTGAATACACGAGTGTGTTCACGCATGCCTGCTTGTGCAAGCACGCACGTGTGTGTGCACGCGCATGGATGTGCACACGGATGTCCTGTATAATTTACACGGCTGCGTGTGTGCACGTGTATGCGGCATGCATGGACATGTGTCCACGCCTACGTGGTTATGCCAGCATAGACGTGCACAGAAATGTGTGCACGTGAATGTGCGTGTGCACCTGAGTACGCGTGCACGGATGCCCGTGTGCAGGGAAGTGGTTCAGGGAGACAAGCTCCCATCCATCAGGACAGAGGCTCCCTCTGGGCCCCACTCATCATGGGTGGGAGGAAAGGCAACTCGGCCTTGGCAGCCCCAAGGCACTTCACAGCTATGTGATTTCCTTCTAAGAGGTCCCACAGCTCTCCCCAGTGCCCTCACCCCTACGCCCTCTACCAGTGCAGCCTGAATCCTTACAATACCCTCCCTGTCATCCCTCCGGGTCCTGCCAAGCCCAGGCCTGCCCACCAGCCACTCACGGGGACAGGCAGCCTTCCAGGCACATGCTGTTTTGCTTGTTACAGGATAATCAGGAGCGGTTGGTCAAGCCTCAGTTTCAATGTCTGGGGTAAGAGGCCTCTCCAGCTCCTTGTTGAACAGCTGCAGTCCCTGGGGCTTCCCTCGTACATAGGCAGGTCTGCGTTCGGTGCAGCCCCGAAGCCCAGCCAAGGGCTCCTCCAGCCCAAGGACTCTGTAGGGGACCCAGCTCTCCTCTCCCCCTCTGGGCCCTGGCCCACAGGAGAGGCGCTTCCTCCTGCCTCCCTCCTGGGTTATGCCAGGGAGATGATGCTGGCGGTCCTGAGGTCAAAAGGCCAGCCAAGTGTCCCCGGGGGCCTGAGTCACTGGTCTGGTCAGGCACTCCGGATGTCCCCAGCCTGGCCTGGCGAGCCGCTTCCTGGGCAGCGGGAAGTCTGTCTGCTTCGGGCCCCAGGTGCTCTGTGTCCTTTTTCCTCCAAATTCTTCGTGCTCGGCTGCCCTTGAGTACAAACATGTGAGACGTCCAGGGCAGCCAGGACCCTGGATGTCCCAACACCCCCAGGCATCCCCCAAAGTGCTCCTCATAAGATGAGAACCCCCAGGGTCTGGAGGAGGTCAAAGCGGCTGGTCAGCTGCTGGGGGAGGGAGCTCCCCCAAACCTACATCTGCCATTTCCTTTTTTTGGATCCTCCGCTGGTTCTCCCTGTCTCCAGGACAAAGCCCATACCCCTACCCCAGGGAGCACAATTGTTAGGGGCTTCTCACTTCCTAATAACTTTTCTCTAGTCTCCAAATGCAGCTCAGAGGTCACCTCCTCCAGGAAGCCTTCCTTGACAACTCCACTCCCAGCCTGGGGAAAGAGCTCCAGGGCACTGAGGGCCTTCCCTGCAGCATGGCAGTGTGTGGTACCAACCGTCGCAGACGGCGAAAAGCCTGCTACAGACAAGGGCCGGCGCATGCCCACTGCGAAGGATGCCAGTGCGTGCGGGTCTTCCCTGCAAGCACACTCCAGGCCTCGCAGACCAGGGGGCCCTTTCACAGGGATGCTGGCTTTCTACCTTCTCTGGGTCCTGCGCCTCTCACATGCAGTCATGGCTTTGCTGCCAAAAAGTGCATAAAAGCCCAGGATTGGCAAGGTAGGTTTGGCCCTCCTTGGGCAGTCCCACCCTCCAGAATCTCTGATCGTTGGCCTCGCCCTGGCCTGACGCCCCCTCCTCCAGTGGGCATCTCTGCTAAGACCCTAGTGCTCTCCTCCATAAGACCCTTTGAGCCTCAGGGCTCAGAGAAAAGAGAAGCAGTCCCAAAGCCATGCACATTTCTAGGCATCACTAAGGGGGATGCTCCAATCCTTCCCTGTGACACCTTCCTAGAACCCAAAGGTGTCCCACCCCGTGGCCCGCAGCCACAGGAATGATCCCTGCCCTCTCATCCGAGGCTGCAGGGAGAGCTACTGGCCTGCCTGCGTGCTTTTCTGGACTTCAGGGAGGAAAGGCCCTCCCCTCCTCCTAGCAAGAAATGCCAGGCCTGGGAACTCCAACCTCATCCCCAGGGTCTGTCTCCCACGGACCTCGAGCTGCCTGGAGGGGGGAACCAGCACAAGCACACGACAGGGAACGACCATGCACGGTCGTGGAATGAATGCACAGAGACATAAGGCAGGGGTGAGCCCGGTGTAGGGGAGATGCCCCAACAGCTTACCCCCGAAGCCGGCAGGAATGAGGCACCCACGCAAACCCGCCCGTCATCCGGGAAATTCATTCTGGGTGCTTGTCAGAGGCGATGATTTTGAACATCCCCTCCACCCTTTAAAAGCAGGGCCCCGGAGCATGAGAATGAAACTTCAATGATTGCCAACATGGATGCAGAGCCTGGGAGCCTGCCCAGGGCTTCCACTGGCACTGCCGTCATGATTCACGCTCCAGCAGCGCTTGGAAGTGGGCAGAGAAGGGAGCTAAGGCTGGGGGCAGGGACGCGGTTCTGCCCTGTAACACCGACCAGAGATCGAGCAGAGATCGGCACTCGGCAGGACCCCCGCGCACCCAGGCAGCGTCGCGGCCTTCGCCAGGCGGCGAGTCGCTGGCTCTCCAATCAGGCCGCGGACCCCGAGCCGACCGGTGCTGCGCGCAAGTGTGCGCGCCCGCGTGTGCGCGCGCGTGTGCCCGGGGGAGGCTCGGAGGCTCTTGTCTTAGAGAGAGCAGGTTTTTGGAACTCACCGCCCAGGCCAGCCGGCACTCAACCCCGTCCTGCAGACTGCCATCGGCCCTGGAGGGGGCGCC